TAAGCAACCAGAGGCAGCTCTGCTCCAGGGTGAAGCCACCTCCCAGTTTTCCCTCCCCCTCTACCAACCTTCCCCCCCACAGTTCTCTTCACCAGGTCCAGTGACAACTGGATGATGCAGCTTTGATAATCATCTGATTCCAGAATGGGTGGCTACATTCTTTTTCTGAAGGCAGCAAGGACACGGTGCCCCAGAATCATGCCCCCTTTGTTGTTGATGTCCGCCTTCATTTTTTTAGTGAATGTCCTGGGAGGAGCCCCAGGACACAACCCGGACCGCAGGACGAAGATGATATCAATACACAGTCTCTCGGAGCTGGAGCGTCTGAAGCTGCAAGAGACTGCTTACCACGAACTCGTGGCCAGACAGTTCCTCTCTGAATTCAAACCTGACCGAGGTGAGCAGTACCCCGGAGTGTGGCGTCCTCGCTCTCCAGCGAGTCGACCCTCCCGGGTGGGACAGGGCGAGTTGGGGGTATGGAAGGGTAGGAGGGGCGTGACCCTGGTCTCAGACCCTGTCAGTTCTCCTGGCGCCGAGAGAACTGAGCAAGAGGGAGTTGAAGGGTGTTTGTTGAATTGCAGAAGAGACAGATTAGTTGAGCTGGGTTAAAGACTAGGAGCTTGAGGGGCAGCATGCCGGACACGTCAGGAACAGACAAGTTGATAGAGTACAGGTGAAGAGACAGACGCATCAAGTGCGGTGCTAGAAAGAATCTGAGTGGGAGCGAGGCACAGGGGGACACTCTAAGAGAGGACTGGGACAGACAGAGACAGCGCGGTTGAGAGATGGAGAGTAAGGGAGACTGTGAGAGACACGCACCAATCCCAGCGTAGAGCAAAGGCGGGCGGTGCGCTGAGAGTGCTGCACACAGCTCAGCGGGCAGCCGGGAGAGCGAGAGGGACCCAGCAGTGGACTGGGTTTGAGTGTGCCAGGGTTCTTAGGGGTAAAGGCTCAGATTAGCAGTTGAAACGAGGTGAGAGGGGGGTCGCACGGGGCCAAGGGGCCCTCCTGCAGTAATGAAAAGTGCAGGGGCAGCAGATTCGGCAGGCGCGCACAGCGGACGCCAGCAGAAAGGAGCGAAGCAGAGCG